GTTGCCCTACAGTTCCCCTATAAGTCCTTGTGTATATAGTTTTCTTCATTCTCCTTAAAACTATCATCATTCTTCTTTCAAATATCCTTCACAAGCTACGATTAAAAAAGGAAAACGAAGCTCCACCCAACTAGTACTGCAGATGTGGGTGGCTGAAATCCTTCTTTGTCCATTTTTGCAGTAAACTGCAGCTTCCATCATATTATCATTATATCTATGCAGGAGGAACACCTCCCCAAGGAATTCACCAGCTGTTAATAGCAACAATGATTTATAGCTCTTAGCATCTCAGGGACTCTAACAGACTGTGGAAGTTCAGAGAGAAATACAAACCCTGCTTAGTTCAAGTAGCGAGTGTCTCCTAGAGTTACAGATAGACTTAATGCTATGCAGTGATGGTATGCCTTATGCCTCTGTTTGCACATCTGTAAATTGCAAATAATATTCTCCTACTTGATGAAAATGCTGTGGAGATAGTTAATATCATAATGTGTCTGAAAATCCTGTGTTAATAGTTCCCAGGGAAAAACTGCTAGAGTGTTATTATCATAAAACAAAACCACTAATAATGAATCATTGATATTCGGCAGAAAATGTAGATCGTAATTCAATGGTTCTGTCAGATTTTTGGAGCATAGTTTGATGAGCTGATAAGTGGCAGCAGAAATCTTCCTCCTTCTAGGTACATGCCAAGTCTAAATTATTGCTTAGAACTTCAGCCAGGTACATGACAAGTTACTAAGGCTCTATCTTGAGTGGCACTGTTCAATTTATTCTGTAATTAGAGTAACTTCTGAAATTCTTTGCATTTTTTAAAATCTGAGAGAATAAGAACTGCTGGTTGTGGCTTTTGTGGACGGGATATTAATTCAGGAGGACAACCTCTGATTTAGCAGAATATTGAACTTTGATTCTCATGAACCTGTGCCTTCACAAAACCCACAGCATTCACACAGATGGGAAAGAAGGAAATTTTGTTTCATCTCTTCCAGGCCACAGTTTTGAAAAAGAGCAGGTGTGCTCTGATGATATGATAAAAAATGAAGTGTAAAAATCTGTGTGGAATTTGTGATGAAATCGTTCCAAAACAGACATTATTAATAGCAATTATTATACAGTCTGTGACATCTATAAAACTCAGATACGGTGATGTTCTTCAAATTAAAGCATGGCTTAGTGGAGATAAAATCATTACATGGTAATGCAACACAGCAGATTTGATTTTCGCCACTTACGTATACTTCTAACTTCACAAAAGTATTCATGGAAATCTCCCACAAATCTGAGTGAAATCTAAGGAAGCAGAGGTGCCACAAAAAGATGTGTGACCTTGATCTGTTAGAAACTGAGCTCTTACGGTTCTCATCCTCTAATACAGGTATCCCTAAAGCTCTGAGATTACAGTGGAAGCTTTTAATGAGATCTCAGTTTTATACTGGAATTTTTTTTTATTTTGGTACAAAGAATGCTTTAATAATGGAAAAGTATGATTATAAATTCTTTGCATGAGGAGAAAGAAAATCAGAATCAAACCCGTTAAAAACTTTGCTCAGTAAGTCTGTAGTTTCAGAGTCATTCTGTAGAGGGGCCAGATTACATTTCTTTTGATGATAAAACTCTAGGCTTGTTAGACCACAGCCTCCCTGCAATCTACATCTGTTGTTTTGTCTTAGTAACAGAATAGTGTTAATGTAGTAATTAACTCCTGGTTATTGCTGTCAATGCTGAACATCACTCAGAATTAATATGTATGAATGTCATTGTTTCCATGCATCTTGCTTTTCTGTTACGCTTCTCTTTCCTTTCCTTCTCCTCCTTCACCATTATGTTTGGCTGTAATGCAACTACCGTTTCATCTACAAAGACTTCCCTCCCAGCTTTTGTCCCTATCCTATCTACTATAATGGCCGATGACAAAATAGTTTCTGCTGATACCCAAAGTATCTTTAAATAAAGATGAGAGTAAGCAACCAAAGGCATCAGCATAGCTGATGATAGTTTACACTCAGCAAAGGTGTTCAGGCTGTCTGCTTGCTGAAGCAGAGTGTGCCGCTTTGTTTACACATGATTCATGTTTGGACTTTTCCTTAGCAATCAGGAGGAGTCAAAAAAGTGCTGTCTTTAAAATGAAGGTTTGAAGGTTTTGGGTTGTCACAGAGCCACATCAACACAGCAAATGGGCTGATGTTACTGTATGAAGGGGGAATGTGTTCTGAGGTAGATGTGCTGGGACGGGGTTGGGGGTGGAGAAGCTTGGAGCAGAAAAGTAGAAATGGATTTAAACCAAATCAGTAAATCCAAGCTTTTTTAAGTTTGCATTGAGTGAAAATGCAGATCTGAATTTTGAGTTTTGACCTTAAAAACCTTGAACTTCACAATGCTCAAAATCTTGATCTGTTGTCATGGCTTGAGATCATCTCTGCACAAAACCAGAAAACCACCAGTTGGACTTGATGTTGAGATGTGGTAATTTTGCCACTGGCTTCAGGAAAAGCAGGTTCAGAGCCTCAGTCTCAGTTTCTAGCTATCAGATGGGAAAGGAGGCAGATGCACGAAGACAGGTTTCTCTATTCAGGAAATAGTAATTTTAACTACAACTTATCCCTTTCAGATACAAATATTAGAAAGCTTGGGTTTTGTCTGTCACTGGCCACGAGGAGATCATCATTGACCTCAGTGCTCTGCAGCAGCCCATGAACACATGGGCTCCATTTATGACTTTGGCATACATATCAGAGACATGGCTTTTAAACCTGAGCAGCAGAGATTTCCAGATGTGAGCAAAAGTTGACATGATTGGTTCTTGTGTTCATTTGCTGCAAGCAGATGCTTCCACTTCTCTGAACAAAGCATGAAAGCTTCAGTTTTAACAGATGAAGGGCACATTGGGTTTTGAGACTCTTTCATTCTTACGTCCCAAGCTGTTGCAAAAAACATCCTTCATCTAGTTGACCTACTGCATTTTCACCCTGTCACACGGTCTGAATTCACTGCCTCACCCCACCCAGTACTTCCATTCCCCAGCAGCCAGAGGGCAAAGGCGTTAAAGGGAATATGCTGAGTCAGCAGTGCTGATGCATAGCTGTAGTGGCCTCCAGCATGTTTCTAACAATTCCTGTACATTCATTCTTTCAACCTTAAAACCCTACCTGAAAACAAGCTCTTCTAAGAGGGTTGATATTTAATTTCTTCCCTTTGTCTGCATTGATGCCCAGGGTTTTTTCTCTTTGTCTCTTGAATTTCATGTTTTGATGCCTGAGTGATTATTAACAGCCATCTCTCTGCTCAGTAAATGAAATTATTATTTCATTTGAATTCAATTGAATTCAAGTGAATTGAATGCCATCTGTAATTAACCATAGGGATGGGTGTTTGCAATGCCAAAGAGTTCTTTAATTGAGCAAAGGCACAGCAAAATCCCAATGTAGGATGTTAAATTCAGCAGTGTTCAAATGAGAAGTAAAATGTGAAAGCTTCCCAAAAATACATTCCCAATCACTTGAAATCCGTGTGACCCAATGCAGTGATAAAATACTTAAGATGAGACACCTTTTGAGAAAGAAACACTTCAGTGTAACCACTTGCTATTGGATGAAATGCAGGATGCCTGGGAATGAGGTGCTTTGTTCTCTAACATGCATGCTGTTGAACAGAAACCACATAATAGCCAACATCTTCCTTAGCAACTGCACGTACTCCTTGGTAATCTAAATGCCATGAAAAGAAGTGCTTAAAAATGTCATTTTTTGAAATTTTGGGCTGTATTATGACTATTTTCTAGGTCTAACAAGCCTAGAGTTTTATCATCAAAAGAAATGTAATCTGGCCACTCTACAGAATGACTCTGAAACTACAAGCTTACTGAACAACATTTCATTGGGGGAAAAATTATGGAAAAATTATGTAAATGAGCTCAGAATGGATCTTTGACAGTACATTTGTGATGTCTTCAACATTTTGTATCTAAAAACATCCCAGGCTCGAAATAGAACCATGAAAATTTCTGTCTCTCATTTCATTGCTCCACATAGCATTTCAGCAACCCCAAGAGGGAAAAAAACTGTGCTGCTTGCTATGGTGACTTAACATCTTGCACAGCTGCACTAAAGGGCATAGACCTCCTTCATATCTGCAATACTGTAAACTAGATCTCTATAAACCCTGTAGTCTCACCCTGGAGGAAGCTTCAGAATTTAGCGGAGATACATATTCACTTCAGCAGATGTGCAGAAAAGACACTATCAATCAGGAGAGCATTCATCATGGTAGGACTCACCGCTTGGAGCATGCTGTCGTTGGCTCGGTCCGTGATTTCAGAAACAATGAATAAGGCAGCTGAGGGATGAAGCAAACAAACACCATAAATCACATAAAAGAGTAGGAAAATAACCCAAATCCCTTCTGTTTGCAAGGGCATCTTTAAAAAAAAAAACAAACAACATCCCCAGCAGCAGCTCCTTTAACTTCTTTGGCACCTTCAGAATGCGACTGCCCAGCAAATTTAAGACATGGCACAGTGCTGTCAGTTCCCCTTCCCTCATCATTCTCTTGTATGAAACTCTGCATCACACTTGTGCCGACCAAGAGAGCTCATGAGGTCCCTTTTAAGCACCTAGCACAGCACAAAATCTTTCTATGGTGTTTTCTAGTTGTGTATTTTTGGCAATTGGAGCTTGTGGTAGGGAGAGATTAATGTAACTGAGCTTTAGCCATCGAAAAGCATGGCAATCTAAGGTGATTCCGCTTACTGCTGAGGGAGAGGACAGGTCATTGCTTTCTGACAGAAGTATGTATGAAGTGGTGACATCAATTAACACCTGGTTAATTCTGGTGGACACTGGCAAATAACCTGGGCCGGGGCATGTTTGCTGGCCCTCAGGGCAGTGGCATAACATGGCTCAGGTCCTTATCTCAAATTTCTTCCCCTGTGGAACAGGGCATCCTATCGGTTTCTGGGCATAATCTGGGAGCATGCTAGCCATCGCTGGGTGGAAACGTGGTAAGCGAGCGCTAACCACAAACAAGATAGGCAATTGTGGCCACAGGTCTTGAGTGTCTGCCCTAGCCTTGTTTAAATTACTGGTATAGCTGTAGTCCCACTCTCAGTGATGAGGGTCCTAAATCTTGCATGAGGCTCTACTCTTGATCAGAACAGACGGACCATCAGTCAGTTGCAGACCTTATTGCTATGAGTTTGTTTGGATTTACACTCAGTGTAACAGAGGTGAACTGGTTTCATTAATACATTATTCCTGTTTAGTCCAGCCTGGAAGCTACTCCCACTGAGGCCACAGCTAAACTTTGCATTGACTTCAGTGGCAGTAAGAGACTTCTGCTTTATCCATCTGATCAGTTTGAAGGGATGGTGTTAACAGCTGAACATCTGGGTTTGTTCTTGATTGTGCAGACCTAATTTTAATGCAATGTCTTTCAATTTTACTGAGGCTTAAGGAATCCATAATACAGATGCACAATTCAAACCTCCTGGGTTTCTCCAAAGTTCACAGAGCACAGCAGGCATACTATAGATAATGGTACACAAACAAGCAGGTGGAGCCATCCCAATTGACTTTACAGTGACCAGGCCAAATACGGTTGGAGCCAAAGAGGACTAGGATTTCCCTGATGACTGGGGCACAGTCTACAATAGATGCACCATGCTTGTGTAGATGATAATTTCTTCTTCTGTAAATTCATCATGTCAAAACTATAGGAAGATCACGTTTCAATGAAAAAAAGACAGGGTTCTTGCCCTAAATAATTTGTCTAAATTAGTCATCAGTTCTTATAGATCTTACCTCTAAACTATTAACACAAAATCTTGAAAATAATCCTCTTGCATATACTACTAGTATAGATCCTGTACTTATTTAGAAGCAGAGTTATCAAAGCAGAAGTTTTGTTCTACCCATTTCACTTTACCTTGTGTGGCTTCATACTCTGTAGAATCAGGGCAAAGATTATTCAAGTAATCTGTAGAAAATAATCAAACACAGACATCCAGTAATCAGAATACAGATCCACATAATTTGTAGTGTTATTAGCTAAAACATAAAATCCTAATCATAGAATCATAGAATGGTTTGGGTTGGAAGGGACCTTCAAAGTTCATGTAGTCCAACCCCCTTGCCATGGGCAGAGACATCTTTCACTAGACCAGGTTGCTCAAAGCCCCTTCCAACTTGACCTTGAACACTTCAGGGATGGGGCACCAACGGTAATGTCCCATATAGCTTTATTCCCAAATAATTAAGTGTATATAGCCTCTTTGCAAAGCAAAACTCATCTTCAGCTGCATTCTACTTTGAGAATCAATGCAAGAGCATTGATACAGATTTGGACTCACCACATAACTTGGCAGGTATAAACGAATAAACAGAGAGTGACAAAAATATTTCCTTGTTTCTCAGCCAAGAGAATTGCTGAGAAGCACTACTTTACAAATAATTGTTCTTCAAATGAGTTCTATTTTCCCATCTGAATGAATGGTGTTGGCTGTTAGTGACTGATTTTCTGTATTTATACCAAATTAATTATATGCATTTTACAGACACAGGAAGGAGACTCTGGTTCTGTACAGGCAGAGTTCAATGATTACTACTGAATTCAATCATATTCTGAAAATAGGTTCTGTAAAATACAAACCATAGGACTTACATTTACAGGAGTTATATGTGCAGGAATTGTATACAAACCTTTAACCTGTCAGTTTTATTTGGACTACTTGCCTTGGATCATCTGTCTGTTCTTTGTCTGGGTCTTTATGCTTTTAACGACTCTAGTATATGAGTGCCAGCATTTTAAAAGCGTAATCCTGAAATACTTCATTCTTATCTTTCTGATGAATCCAGGCTCCTAAATTCTGCATCCAAGAACTAGGCCTCTATGCTGAGAATAGTGCCGTGCATGGACATCCATTCCCTTACATGTCCTATCCATATACGTTTCTCTTTCTAGTTCTGTGCCCTCCCTGGCTTCCCAAAATCTACCTGGCTTTTACATGCATTCAGGAAAGCATCTGCCTGTACTCAGGCAGGAAGGGGTTGTGCAGTGTTATCAGGCAATATTTAGCATGCCTTTTCACAGCTGCAAGCTCCGTCCTTGGCTATGGACATTCAACTGAGTGGGCAACTCCTTTTGGCTGTAGTGCAGTAATTGGCAACCAATATCCTCATAAAATACCCTTCCTTATCTGGTAGAAGCAGCTGGTTATGAATACACAAGTACACCTGCATTTTAATTTTTTTACACTGTCTCGAGAGTCTGAAGGACTGCAGTGTTCCAGACCCACTCTGTCCTAGCAGGCAAAGAGGGGCTTTGTTTCTTGAAGAACTGAAGCAGTAAACCTATTTTCTGGAATATCTTCCAGCAGACCTTATCTCACTACACACAAAAGCTTTCACTTTCCCAGTTAGTGCCAGTACCTGAGACAAGAAGGAGCTCAAGTTGCTTCAAGTATAGATGGAATCCAGTCACTGGAGCTGCACTGAAACCCTTCCAGCTCTCCCACAAAATACCATGCTTCATGTTTGCAATTTACCTCATGGACCACAGAAATGGGCAGAGAAAATGGAGTATAGTGGGGGTGTTTCTGACAGGGCCATGCCGAGACCTTTTTCTTAGATGCATCATTTGTATGCATGCACTAAACCCACTGTAAGGATCATGTGAGACTACTAAGAACTGCAACCCGCAAATCTGGAAAGTTACCCTTAATGTAGACACACCCAGAGAAGGAAGCAAGTCAGACAGAAAAGAAGTCCTACTATTGGCATCCGGTGTTCATTTCTATTGCTCGTACTAAAAAGCAAAACCAGCTGTCGATAATGACTTGCATCCTTGATCAAAGTGTCTCGAGCAAGATGAAACTGCTACTAATCTGTGTTGTGAATAAAAATTTCATACGGTCTCTTTGTTCTGCTGCATTTATAAGAGTCCGTTCTAATATGCTATGCCCCTCATTGGCTGCTGAGTATGGGCAGGGTTTATGGCTTCCTTTTCACTGTCCCACGCATAACTCTTCACCCACACATACACATGCTCCCAAAACATTTCTCCATCTTTATGTCTATGGATCCTTACTCTTTTGTATTCTGATCTGACTAAATTACTTGACAACACTGCAATTCATTGTTAGATTTCACCATTCCTTCCCCAACCAGTTCATTAGTTACAAACCTGAACTTCATAGTTCTTTCTAGGGGCCACATCCTGCTTCAGAAAGCTTCCTCCCATCCCGGCCCAGACTTGCTAGATTTGCTGTGGCTTGCAGAGAATGAGCCACCAGAGGGAACACAAGCTCCCTTGGAGACACTCCAGGTGGGAGTGATACATATGGTCCTGAATGTAAAGGGGAGGTGTTACTCTAAATGTGAAATCTGTAAATGTACTGTTAATGTCAATTTAGATGTCTGCCTCCTACGAGGCAGAAAAATTGGATTGGAATTTTGACTTGAACTTATCACTAGCCTTAGGTGTACTGTATATAGCACTTAGGGTGCGGTACTGGATACAACTGCTTTGTTGATGAAGTAGAAAGAGATGGTGCTTGCCACTGTCATAAAGGGTGCAGTGCAGAGTCCCCTTGCTGGGGACTGCTGTCCCCTACTGTCTCTGATAGTTGCCCTTCACATAAATAAAATCAAACCTGTTTGCTGGCAGCGAGGCTGAACTCTGCGTCTCCTAATTCACAGAAGGAAAAAGCCAAGAAGGAATGGCTAAAAGCACCTGACTTTACACTTGTTTGTGACCTTTCAGCATGATTGTGTTGGAGAAGTGCTTACTCCTTCCCAGGCTCCCTGACTTTTCCAGAATCCTGTACTAAGCATATTGAAGTTCCCAGGAAATCCCACACTGCGCCAGCCCTATTTCAGCTGTCTTGGCATCAACATGTGGCACAGTGGAGGCACAGAACATCATGGGAGGGTTTCCACTGTGTACTTTTGAGAGTGATTTTACTGACCTGTGAGCAGCACACGATACTGGAAGACACGCTGCACCACTTTCAAAAGCTGGTGTTTCACATTCTGAGGGCTGCCACCAGAGCTCTGCTGTCCTCGATAGAAGGGAAAGGAAACACAAAGATCAGGGGTATGTGAGCTCAGCAGCAAACTGTTGTCTCCACTTCATGTGTACTATGAAAGTTTGCTACCAGTTGCATGCACACATTCCATTGAACCATTCCCAATTTACCTGGCTTTCTAGGGGGTATTGTCTTTGTGACTAGAAAGAAGTACTGTAAGCAGTTTATTTCCTATGGCATCATTCACAAATAGTTTGGACTCAGAAGGAAAAGGGAGGAAAGTGAGTATCGTTTAGAAGGTAAAAGTTGGATAAAGATTTTAGGGTGGCATCTGAAGACAGAGGTATCAGATCTCAGTGAAGCCTGTCATTGTTGTTCCTTTTTTGGACTGAAAGTTTCTTCTGCCTGCAACTTTTTAGTATCAGATCTCAGTGAAGCCTGTCATTGTGGTTCCTTTTTTGGACTGGAAGTTTCTTCTGCCTGCAACTTTTTTGTATCTTATTTCAATACATGGAATTGAGCAAAATACAGAAAAGCATCTCCCTGTGATTGAGTTGGAACTGAATGTCCAGAGAGTGTTTACAAGAAAATATAGTGAGGTTGTGATCTGATTTAAAGATCAGCAGAAAAGAAGTAGCATTTTTCTCTTTACCTTTAATCTTTAGATTCAACCCATTGCATGTCACTGCATATCAGACCCAGTCAGCATGGGTTTATGAAAGGCAGGTCCTGCTTGACTAACCTGATCTCCTTTTATGACAAAATGACCCACTTAGTGGATGAGGGAAGGGCTGTGGCTGTTGTTTACCTGGACTTTAATAAAGCCTTGACACAGTTTCCCACAGCATTCTTCTGGAGAAACTGGAGGCTCATGGCTTGGACGAGTGTACTATTCGCTCAGTAAAAAACTGGCTGGGT